AGGAGGGAAAACACTAATCGCATGCCCAAGGAGTCTAGATAAGACAGCACACTAGGCCAACAAGCTCGGCAATTGGCACCCTTGCTTGGTGGCATAGTTATTAAAGGCGCTCGTCTTTTGACCGCCCGCCTCTTGCCTCAAAAAGGTCCTCTTGCCCGCCCCTCGCCTTTCATCACTATGCTCGGTGGACGTCCTTAACATCAGAACCGCGTCCGAGTTCTTTATACCCCGGTACCCGTTTGGGTCAGTGTTGGCCTGGCCCAGACACACCGTAGGCAATGTCACCTAGTGACATGGTTAGGTTTTCGTTGTATAGACCAAGGAAATGTATAAATACCTTCTCCCCTTTGACGGGGAGGACTTATCAGAGTAATCAAACTCTACCTTGCATTTTAATGTTCCATTGAGGTGTGTGCCCCCCCCCCCCCCCGATCTGTCAGCTCTTAGCAGCAAGACTAAAGATCTTTCTTATGCAGGTGTTCTTACTGGAAAGTATTCTCCAGAAAATCCTCCAACGGGTCCTCGCAGACAGATTTATACTCCCAAATTTTTAACCCAAGTAAGGCTTTTAATTAATTAGAGAAGACAAATAACCTAATTAGGCACTCTGTATGTTGGTAAATATAATTGTTTTCCGTGCTCCACAGCTGCAACCACTGATAAACCGAATAAAGGAGATAGGAGAACACTACAACCGAACTCCAACACAGGTGTGCACTTTAAGCAATTCATAATCTGAATTCCGTTCCTGTTATCTATAGCATCCCCAACACAACAATGCGCACAATATGGCATGCGATGTATGAACGCAAAAATAACTAAATAGTTTGAATGTTTTTTTCTTTCTATGTCTTTCAATGTTTTTGGTAGTTTTTTTTTTTGCCACAATGGCAAGAAGAATATTTTACCATTAAAGTTGCACTTGAGGAAAATTTGGCAAACACACAGGAAATGTATGAAGACAACAACAACCTACCCAAGAGAATCCCACAAATTGGGGTCTGGGAGTGGGTGGATCTATGGGTAGATAGATTATTTCCAAGACACAAACCGCATATGCATGCAGACTTATTAGCACCAACAAAATGTCTTGAAGAAAACTAAAGACACTATTGCATTTCATGATTTGTTTGATCCAAATAATCCTAACTTCCACTTTTGCACAATATAATGTTACAATTTACAACAACAAAAACCCCAGTAAAGTGTCACAAAAGGTTGAAAAAACAGGGTTTAAAGAGAATAGAATGTTACAAACATATCGAATAATGGTGGCCGTCACCTACCTCTATGGCTTTTGTCGCATGCAGGTGGTGCTGAACTGGTTGATATCCCAAGGGAATGTGGTCCCCATCCCGGGGGCCAAAAATGCAGAGCAGGCTCGAGAATTTGCTGGCGCCCTGAGCTGGAGATTGACAAAGGAAGAAGTCGAGGAGCTTCGATCCTTGGCATCACTTGTCAAGCCTGTTACTGGCTTCCCAGTTGAAAAATTCTAATCATATGAAGTTCATCCCATCACCATGCTGATATCAAACTTTTTACTGCTACAATATACTCTCTCCACTCACATCTAAAATCATTATTACTTTTGCGATATATCAAAAGTTAAATGAATGTAGACATGACGTACGTCCATATTCATTCAATTTTTGATGCATCATAAAAGTCACTTTATAATGGTTGGTTAAATACTTAAATGTGTGAATATAAGGAGTAGGCTGTAATTATCATATGGCATCATATATTGTGTTTATTGGATTCTGGTGGTGCATGCATGTCTCTTTCCCTTTGCTGGATCCAAGGGGCTATGATAAGGAGGTACAACTCTATAAGGGCTATTTGGGGGGNAACGTTGCACCCACACCCCCTATGATCATTTTCCGGCGAAGAGGGGTCATTGACGCATAATTTCTAAACCATAGGGGGCATTCGTGCTCATTTCTTATTTTCGTTTATTATTCTTCCCTTTTTTAATATTTTCTATCTCTTTTTCCTTTTCCTAGATTTTTTAAAAATATATTTTCAATTTTTTATAATGTTTCAAAAATTTTAAAATTCTTTGTGTTTGAAATAAAAATAGAAATAAAAAATTAACATACATTATTACATCTATCTCAAACTAAACAATTTCACTTTTTAATTTGTTACTTAGAGTAATTTTTTGGAAATTTCAAAAAAAAAAACCCAGAATAAAAAAATAAAATATGGAAAATCGAAATGAAAAAATTAAAATACAGAAAAAAGTCTTATACAAAAAAAAAATTGGACACGCCTAAAAAAGTCCTTAGAATTGAGATGTCCGAAACGATATTCATTTTTATTTTTGTATTATTTTGTTTCTTATTTTATTCCTCATTTTATTGAAGTTCTAAAAAAATTACTTTTTATTCAGAAAAAACAAAATTTGTTAATTTGAGACGTACATATGCATTATATGTTAATTTTTTCAAACAAAAATAACTTTAAATTTTAAGAACATTATAAAAATATTTTTAAAAAACCTTTATTAATAAATGAAACAAAAAAGGAAAAAATGGAAAAAAAATTGCGAGAAATAAAAATCAGCACAGTTACCCCCTATGGTTTAAAAAATATGCACCGATGCCCCCCTTCTTTGCATGGGTGCAGCTTTTTAAAAGCACGTAGACTTTAGAAATGAGTTTTGAAAACAGAGGGGGTATTGGTGCATGTTTTGCAAACCACGAGGGGTACCAGCGCTATTAGGCCTTATTTCTCTATTGGAGGAGTTTAATAGAGGGTTGAATGAAGCTAAACTTTCCAAAGGATTTCCATTCTTGAATAGGATGAAAATATGATAGAGGTTTTAATATTTTTGGGGATGCAAAGAATAAAACTAATGTTTCATTGCATCTATCATCCAAATCTCCACTAATAATGAAATGTAAAGATTGAATATGGTGCCTTTTTTCATAATCTTCCTCCCAAAATAAGGTACATTTCCTATTCACGTGTCAAGTTTTAATGACGCTCTTGACTCATTTTTGCTACCCATTTGGGAAAATCATATACGGAGTAGTTGTTACCTTAGAATTTTTTATGTTGTTTTTAAATGTATAAATTTTATTTTTTAACTCTTACCAATTTTCAAATAATGAAAATAATTTCAATTAAATCCGGTCAACAACATTAGACAACTCTTTTTTTGTGATAGAGGGAGTATTTTTTTTAATCAATATGAGGAAAAATTGGTGTAGACTGAAAAAAAATAAAGGCTATATATTGAGATGCTAGATCAAAAATTTTATAAAACAAGTGTTGATAAAATCATATTATTTTATCAAGTCATTGATGAAAATGTATAAAAAAAAGTTAGAATTAATTTGACACGTGAATAGTAATTTAAAACCTTGTTTCGAGAAAAGTAATCAAGTTTTGGAGACATTGTGATTTTGAAGTTTTAATCTTTAGAATGACACATAATCAACCCATTGGTTCTTTCATTGATTCTAGAGAATTAAACTATTAATTGTTTCAAAAGAATTAAATATTGGTGAGTAGATCAGGATCTGCTTTTTTTTTTGCGTAAATTTGAAAAAAACATTTCATCAAATGCACCACGCCTATATTTCATAGTACTTTTTTTAAATTGACCATTGTGGAGTATTTCATTCTGTTTATCAAAATATATGAGCTGGTTTACCATGATCTCATTTAATTTTCTTGATTACATTTATTTCATACAAAAAAAATGTGTTTTTTAAAACATATTTACTTCACAAGTCGGTGCCCAAGAGATGCTGACCGTATTCAAGGGCACAAATTGGGAACAGCTGCCCAGACAGGATTACTCGAAAATCAAACTTTTATTAATGTTCAATTAATAACTTCCCCTCAGCTTAATCTTTTTCACTATTCATGCAATTAAAGTATTTTTTATTTCTTTATTTATTAACGGTATTCATTTATCATAATAAGTTGGTCTTGTTGCATCTTATTTTATACCCGTTTATAATTTAAATTTGAATTTTGAAATATTTATATTATATGGAGTCAAATTTTGTTAGAGTATAAAATATAAATACTTCTTGAGCCTTAAATCAAAAACTTAAATTTTTAGTTGAGTTAGTTTGTTAACATGACGTCAGGGTCTTGCCAAAATGGAAATTTATATTTTGGACTTCACGTATAGTGTCCCTAAACTCGCAGGTCATGAGTCATGAATTTAAGTTTAAACGAAATGAATTTGAACTTCACCGCCACCTAGTTTAAATAATTTAATTTTCATGTACAAGGCTCGAGCAAAAATAAATATCGTCTGCACGCAAGAGCGTGTGTTAGGGTACCAAATCCTTCGTGGGAGTACAATCACAAGGTTGAGTTTTTTGTTAATTTGGTTACTTGACAAACTTTATTAAATTTCGTTACTCATTTGATAAAAGAATACAGTTAAATCATCTATCATTTCGCAGAACTTTTAAACATACGGAGTATTTTTTTAAATTAAATTTCAACTATCAAATTAATTGAAGATATTTTTTGTCAAATATCGTAAACTGAAAGAGTCGATTTAATTTGAGGAAAGAGTACAAGACAATTAATATTGACTATTGTTGCAAAATAATTCCCCCTTTTGAAATGGTCGGCAACTAGTTTGTCAGGAGGCGTAACTCAAGTGGTCAAAAGAGGATGCAAACAAAAGAGTTATAAGTCCGTGGGCTTGACCATATAACCCGAACCTCTTCCACAAGTTTGGGTGTCCCTAATCCCTACTAATTACTGGCCGGACCGCCCGCCCAGACCGACGCGGACTCCATAAATTCAAGCCCAAACACACCATTTTACGTACGGGTCGGGTATCCAGACCGTGATCCGAGAGTCGTAACTACCGTCTTCCGCGACAGGAAAATGCTGCGGTCGAAAACCCCACTTCACTCGCTTTCTCCATTGTTGTCTCTTTCTCTCTCACTCTCCCTCTGCCTCTAGTGAGAGAAACCAATAACTGAAGAATTTTTTATTCTTTATTACAGAGAGAGAGAGAAAGAGAGAGAATACCCATTTCCTAACTGTTCCAGCAAATTGGAGCTCTGTTTTGGCCTTTTGGGTCGTTTCCCTTTCTGCCTTTCTTTAAAAGATTTGTAATTATTTTAATTAAAGTTTAAAAAAAGGGGATCTTTTTCAATTTCCTCAGAGAATTTCAACTGCGGTTTCTTGGTCAGGTGATTCCCAGACACCATCTCTGTGTCTTTCTTTCTGTTCTTCACTTCCATTACTGGTTCTTGATTTTTTCTTGAAAATCTTGAATTTTTTTGCAGCCATGAATCCCTCGTGCCCTCCTGATTGGGATATTGAAGATGAAGTCTCTCTTCCAAACCAGAAGAAGACTGCAGGGTTAGCTTTCCCTACAAAACATTTTCTGGGCCTACAGTCTCACAAGTTTGAGTTTTTTTTGTTTTTGTTGGGATAAAGTTTGTGTTTTTTATATTTAGCTTATGGTGATTACAGGTTAGGGTTAGACCAGGAGCTGGTGGAGCTGCTATGGAAGAACGGCCAGGTGGTGTTGAGCAACCAAACACATAGAAAATCTCTCAATGAGCCATCATCCACTTCAATGCCTGGCAGTCCCTTTGGGAACCCAATTCAAAATGACCCATGGCTTAATTATCAGGCCATTGATGACTCTTTCGAGAGAGAACTATGCGCTCCGTTTTTCTCCGGAATCCCATCATCAGCTCATCCTCTTGACACAAATCAAGAAACCAAGATCTCCATTTTTGGTAATAATAATAATAATGGTAATAGTAATAGTAATCCCATGCCCCCGCTGCCAGGGACTCAGATCTTGAGTTCTCTGAGGAGGCAGCGGCAGCGGCGTGGAGATAAAGGGGAGTGTTCGGCGATGACTGTGGGCTCCAGCCATTGTGGGAGCAACCTGGTCGCCGTTGATGCTACTTTTGACAGGAGGAGCAGTGGGAGGAAATCATCAGCAACAGCGGCGACCAGAGGTGGAAACTATGGTGGGGAGAAAGCAGTGAGTCCTGAGACTGAAATGGGTGAAGAGGATACCACTGGAACGTCGTCGTCTGGAAGGTCAGGTGGCACCAGCTTTGTCACAGCCAATGGCCGCCCCAAGAAAAGGAAAGCCAGGGGTGGAGAAGAAGAATCAGAATGCCAACATGATGAAGTATGTGTTACAGTATAAAATCTTTCCTGTGCCTACAACCACAAACGTTTTTGGTTGAGTTGGTTATTTGACAGTATCTCATCTTTAATTCCTCGATTTTTTTAGTGTGACTTATGTGACCCAGTGGAGTGACAAGTTTAGTTTATTGTGTAGGGTGATGACTTTGATATGGGGTACACAAACAAGTCTTCCCAAAAGTCTGGAACCACTCGCCGGAGCCGTTCTGCTGAGGTTCATAACCTCTCTGAAAGGGTATAGGACTCAAATGACCTCTAGATTTCTTTTTCTTAAGGGCGTGTTTGGATGGCGGGTTTCAGGCCATAAAGTGTAGCATACTCATTGTTTGGATCATTGGAGTAATGGGTTTTTTTTTGTATACAGAGGCGAAGAGATAGAATCAATGAGAAGATGAAGGCTTTGCGGGAGCTTCTCCCTCGCTCCAACAAGGTTTTCTCTCTGATCTATCTTTTGTTAAATATAAAAAAAAAAAACCTTTCCCAAGTCTACCACCAGAAGCTTGAACTTCTGTTTGAGTTGGTTAATTACTTGACAACTTTCTCATTTTCATTCTTGATGAAAATTTACATAAAACCATCGTCTATTTTGTGTCGTCTATATGAATTTGCAGACAGATAAAGCGTCCATGCTAGACGAGGCAATCGAATACTTGAAGTCCCTTCAAATGCAACTTCAGGTTTTGATTTTTTTTTTTGTGTGTGCCATCCAAATTAAGTATGAAAATGTTGTTTTGAGACTCAAGTGGGATGCTTCAATGGTGTGATCCAGATGATGTGGATGGGGAGTGGGATGGCATCAATGGTGTTTCCCGGGATGCAAAACTACATGTCGCGAATGGGGATGGGAATGGTGCCCCCGGCGTTGCCCTCTATGGGAATGCACTTACCAAGGCCTCCTCCTCCTCCTCCTATGGTTAACCATTCTCCTCCTTCTCCAACAATGGCGGCTTCAACGCAGAGCCAAGCACCACCATTGTTGAACCCTCTCATCAACTATCAGAACATGTTGCAAAACCCCAATTTCGCAGAGCAATTTGCCAGCTTCATGGGCTTCCACCCAATGCAAAATGCTTCCCAGGTTCGTTTTTTTTTCTTTTCTTTTCAGGAGCTTGTGATTGTGGGCCCAGGAAAGGTTTCGTATTTTAACCGTTCGTGTTTTTATATTGGTTTTGCAGTACGTGAACCGTTTGGGTCCGCAGTCAACGCCATTGAACCCGGTGTTCAACCCGCCACCAGCCAATGGCAGTGGTCCCTCGGCTTAGACGATATCCACAACCGAAAGCGCCACAAGGTCTAGAGCACTTTGGCCATTATTTTGTTTTTTTTTTATTAATTTTTTTTGCTACATTAATTATAGGCTCAAAGCAAACTCTTCTTGCTCTCAAATGGATGATGTATAAAAGCATATCATTCCCTTCCATTGAAGAATTGTACTCAAAAGAAGAAGAGGCACACCATAGGTTTTTTTTCCTTATAAAAAGAAGCATATTATAGGTTTGGAATAGACAAATGAAGCATAAACAAAATCTTCAAAAGTCATACACTCGTTGCAAAATATAGTGCACATTTAAGTTCACGAAATTTAAGAAAAATGGTAAAAGGTAAACAGGGTATGTTTGTAATTTGTGGAGGAGAGAAATATTATAAGCCTTATATTTCAACCCTTAATTGAAAAGTAAGAAAGTGTAAATGTTAGAGTATAAAACTATCCTTGTGTTGATAACACAAGTTTGATCTTGTGGTTGAATTTTTTCCTTACTATGTTATCAGATTTTTATTGATCCGAATGTTACAGATTCAAAAGATCACAAATTCAAACTTTAAAGTCACTTAGATTTTAAAAAAGTAATGTTTACATGCAAAGTTAAAGAAAACAAATGAAATCTTGTTTTCAAAAACAATTTTTCTTATATATTGACATTTGACAAATTTATTTTTATAATTTGATTTTTTTCAATTAGAATCCTTAGGGTTGAAGATAAAAGAGAGTCAAATCACTTTAATAAATTATTATGTCAATTCAAAATTGACAAAGTATATATTACAATGACTTAATTTAGATATATTAATCAATTTTATCCAAAAGTGAAAGTATTTTATTCAAAACGTAAAAAATGAAAGAAGAAGAGATTTCAAAAATGACGGGAGTAATAAACTTTATTTTTAGACTATTCGAACAAAATTAAATGCTCCGTATAATTTTTATTTTGTGTTTTGAGACTATTCGAACAAAAATTAAATATAATATTAATTTTGTGACGGGGCATAAGGTATTATTGCTTTTCTATTGCTCACTATAATACAAAATCCATGTTTCTTAAAAATTAGAGTTGAGAGGAGATGAGAACAATTTTTTGACACCTAATGGTTTTGTGACATCTTGAGATGACCATAATAACGCATTAGTCCGTGGGTTTAATTTACCTAAATAGGACTAAAACATAATGACTTTCCCAATGTAAGACCATATGTTTTTATTTCCCAATGTAGGACCTTAGGTCATTATCAAGTAGTCATTATTCAACTAAATGTCCATCGTTACTGGACATTATTCCTTCCACTAGTTCATTAATAAGTCCTATTTAGGGAGTAAAAAAATTTAAGTCCTACATTAGGAAAGTCATTATGTTTTAGTCCTATTTAGTGCAAATTTCACTTAATTTAATGGAAAAGTATTGTTATTAAATTTGTTTATTGACATTAGTAATACTCCGTATAATATAAAAAGTTGACATGAATGTGCAATAAAGTGAATATTAATATTATTAATAATATTATTATCATGTCAACCTATTAAAGATAAATAAAATTTGATAGATTTTTTTTATTTCTCAGAAAACATGCGGTACCATTTAAAAATTAAAAATAAAACAAATTAAAAGTTGGACATTGGGTCAACGGTGACACTAGCGGTGCCACTGCATTTTTGAAGCACCTCCGGGGCTCCATTCAGAAAAATTGATGGTTCCTACGCCCCCTAGCCCCACCCCCTAAACCCCCTACCCTAGCCCCACCCTACCTACGGTATATATCTGGTAGGTACAGTATTATACATATACTCCGTATTATGCTTTAAAAGGCACACATATAGTCATCTCGCATCACCTAAATGTTTGTAGTGAATTTATTTTTGCAAATAAAAAAAAATATAAACAAGAAACACTTGGCCCCATGGTATATGATGGACTTATATATAAATCTTTGACAAGAAATATATGAATGAATCATGAATTAGTGACTTTAAACTTGTCTCTTCTTTTTTTTATAACAATCAGATGAATGATTTTACGATCAAGTCTTTGGTCACACTTTAAAGATTGTCTAGTGTGATTAAAAAAAATCAAACTAGATAAATAATCTAGGACAGATAGAGTATATATGAATGAATATTAGGGAAATGATAGGGGCATTGTTTAATTTGTGTATCTTCTTGAAATTGTGTGGGGGCAAATATGTCATTACCTTACCTGGGAGTGCCCTAGCTAGCCTTTTTTGAAAGCTATAGGAAGACACTAATAATGTTTGGTAGGACAAGAGGAGTACCTTATTATAACAAACTGGGTACTGCCCCTCTAGACACTACCTCTTCTTTTCAACCATATATATCACAAATTTTGATGTTGAAAGGTGCATGGAATGGGAATAAGAACCTACCTGGCTTTCTCAAAAAACAAAAACAAAAAAAGGATCTTGATGTAAACGAAGGCAATTTAGTTTGAACGTGTAACGTAAGGGCGAGCAAAAATACCGACACGATATTTTTTCCGATCAAACCAAACCGATATGGTACCGAATCTAAATAAATGTTTTCAAATGGTTCTAGTAAATAACATCTCGATTCGGACCATTTCATTTTCAAAATATTAAGGGGCATGCCTTCAAAAAATTAGAACAAAAAATATCGAACTGGACCGTTACAATAATTAAAATGGTCAAATAATTAATTAAATTTTCTCGTAATAAATTGATATGATTACAACCGTACAGGGGTACAGCTGACAGTCTGACACGCTCATATTATAAATTTCTTAGCAGGGATTCGGGAGAAGCATCATATCCCCCGGTGGTTGGTTGGGCCGGGGTCCAAGGGGGGTTTTTTTTGTATCTTTGCCTTATAAGGAAATTCATCAGATTTTTGTGAATGAACTCTAATGGGTATACTGAATATATACGGAAGTGTACGAATACAATAAAAATTAGTTGTGGAATACCATCTCAACTTAGCTTCAGTCTAGCATCTTTTGGCCAAAAAATGTCTCCACATAAATATGTTAACAAATTGAAAATATCCTCAATTTTAACATCCCGAATGACAATCGTATGTAAATTTGTTAATGATTATTTGCAAATATTCGTGGATAATTTTATTCTTTGTCAGTACAAATTTAGAGACGATTGTCATCTTAGAAGTAAAAGTTGAAACTCTATTAATTTAAAGCCACCCTATGAGCTTAACAAAGTACCCCTTTCGGCCCAATTTCCAGACAAGGAACGTGCAGTGCCACCCACCGGGAATAGTACTTGTGTCGTTAACCCTATCTTAGTGTACTTATTGAATTTGAATTTTTTGAATTAAACTAAATAAACTTTGAGTTTTAATTAAATAAAATCTCTAATGTATGTTATTATAAAAATGACTTCATTAGACTTATCTTGTTGATAGCTTTTGGAACTTTATTTCATTATACTAATATGCTATATAAATTAAGATTAATTAAAGATCAAAGGTTATCTGGTTGACTCGAAAAAGTTAAACTAGACAAATATTTTGTGACGGAGATGGTACTTTGCTAATCAAATTTCTAAGACAAAGGAACATTCAAACTATAAATATATATACATTACTTTTTATAGGAGAATTTTCCTAAATAGTACTAAAACATAGTGACTTTCCTAATGTAATACCATATGTTTTTATTTTCAAATGTAGTACCATTGTTCAATATCTACTAGTCATTGTTTAAGTGAATGCACACCACTATTGGACATTGTTTATTCAAACAAAATGTCTACCGTCACTTAACATTGTTCCAGTCACTAGACATTACTCAGTTACTATTTAGAGAATAAAAAAATTTAAATTTTACGTTCGAAAAAGACACATAAAGACGAGGACGGACGCCGAGAGAGACATGCATATACTGATATACGTGTTGGTTGCTTGATGTTTGGACTGCATTACATTTTCATCGTTCTTCTTTCATTAATTATTCTAGAAAAATTACCGAGCATTTTAATAAGATTTATGTTTTGATTTTGGACNTATAAAATTTAAAATATTTCCCCCCCCCCCCCAAAAAAAAGAAGTAAAATAGTCATACTATTATTTGTTTTATTCATCAGCTTTTAATATTTTTTTTAAATACTCCGTATATATTTGCTTGGGGTAAATATTATTATAAAATTTTACATTTATGGTTAAAAAGATTAAATAAAAAATAAATTCGACCAAACATTATAGACCATAAAACGAAGATTAGAATAAGACGATAAGATAAATGGAGTAACAAGAAACTTAGAAACCTAGTGATTGATTTCAACTTACCAACTACGGAGGTACGAGGAATAGTAAGGACCAAATATCAAACTCTCGAAATATAATACAATCTCTCTATTACTTGAATTAGTTCGATTCAGCCTGAGTGTGTACATGAAGACATGAAGAGATTTACATGGCAACTATTCGAGGAGATGTAGACTCAAAGCCCATCTCCTTAACCCGTGTTAGCGTCGAACTGAGGCGTAAAGCGAGGCTAGGCCTACCTTGATCCAATGGAATAAAATTATTTTAAATAATTACAAAATTAATATTGAAATGCACAAATGGCAAGTCTGTGTTGAAGTTGTTTGTGATTCTAGCATTACTCTAAAATTATCTCCACTTTTGTTTTTTTGTTAAGACCACAATGAGTTGTGACACTTAATATAAAAGGTAAGAGAAAACTGTATAAATGGAACGATCAATCTAAATGCAATGACCTTAGTGACACATTTTGCATTTTACACACGATTTACAATGATACACCATTGACATTATATTTGGAGTATAAGAATGTTTGAAACCACAATTTCTCACATTGACATTTAGAGGTTGAACCACAATATAAGCATGTTTACATACATGTACAATATGAACTTGATGATTGTTGATATCACATGAAACTCTATAGAAACTTAAGTCTTTAAAGAGGGGATATAACAATGTGTAGAGATGTGAATTGGATCAAAGCCCATTTCTTCATGGGTCACAGTAATATGTGAAATGGGTAAAGTTTACACCATGAGCTTTCATTATGAGCCGGTTTCAATATCTTTGGGCCTAAAGTGTACACCTTAACCAGTAAGTAACATTTTGGGGTGCATAAGGGCCTACGTAGGAAAAAAGAGGTTTATGATAGAGAAAACAAAAAGAGTAACTTAGATTATTGGCCAAGTAGCATCACGAGTACGTGCCTGTTTGGGAATAGCGTTGGCAATTAGCGTTAGCGTTTTGAAAAAGCTATCTACGGGCAGCGTTTAGCTTTAGCGTTGTCAAAGTAATCTGCACCGTTAAAATTTTATCCAAAACTCTAACGCTAATCTCTAACGCTATACCCAAACAGGCCCTACCTCCCATTGTTTAGAAAATAAACATCAATATTACAATATTTTCAAAAAAGGAGAAATACATAAAATAATAAATGAAAAATAAGAAATGAGTACGAGTATCCCTTATGGTTTAGAAATTAGGTACTAATGCCTCTTCTTTACCAGAAAATGATCAGAAGGGGTGTGGGTGTAACGTTTTGAAACCACAGAGACTTTAGAAATAAGTTTTAAAACAAAGGAGGCATTTGTGCTAGTTTTTCAAACCAAAGGAGGCACTAGAGCTATTTGGCCTTAGATTATTATATAGGTTTTTTATCCGTTTTTGAAAGAGACGGAACTCTTTATTATCTTTTGAGTTTGCCGATATCTTCTCCGGGATTGGAGAAGGGGCATTGATCTGATAACATAACTACTCAAATTACGGTTATGATCTGTAAATAGAGTTCTTCAAGTTTAGGTCTAGATCGAATAAATTAATCAAACCAGACCGTTAGGTCTAGACTGAACTTGGACCGAATGAACTTCGGTCAGTCTTCGGTATGAAAAAATTTAGGCATTCAAATTTTGATATGTTCTAGCCGAAACCCAAAATGATTTAAGTCTTGTTCGATTGGACCTAATAACCCTATTGGACTTAAAAGACCTAAATATTAAAACATTACTTTTTTAAGTTCGGCATTACACATTGATGCTCTTTTTAATAGATATATTAATTTATTTAATTAAAAAAGTTTTTTATTAAGTAATTTTAAAAACAAAAAAAATATTTCACATTAGTTTTTATGATTCTACGTAGAAGTAGTCCATGTGTATCTATTTTTAGTTTGTATATTCTTTTTATTTTTTCCTATTTGCACGATAACAGTTATAAAGCCTAAAATATATTCCCTCCGTCCCACAAAACATGACCCATTTTTGAATAGCATTTGCTCAAAAAATTACACGCTTTGACTACAAATTGTGAGAAAAGTATATTGAGTTATAATATAAATTTAATATAACTGAATTCATCTTAGGATCTAGTTTTGGTATATCAAATTTTAATAACATTTCTTTATTTAGATTATATTTAATTTATGGTCAAAGCGTGTAATTGTTTGACCAAAAATACATCAAAATGAGTAATGTTTTTGTGGAACGGAGGGAGAATTTAATAGCTCAAATATATTTTTATTTAATACAGCCTTTGGTCCTATCTTGGACCGATGAACAACCATATCCATAATTGGTCACTCTAACCAAGTTCCATGATTAGTGAGATTTGACCACGCGTGGACTGCCTCCCTCTCTTTGACCTAGCTGCACTGCGATCTGCCTATATGCTATTACGTTAAGGTAATTGGGTCAATTTTTTATTTTGATGAATTTTGCTATGTTAAAAATCTAGTCAAAATTCATTTTCTGAAATTTCACACTAGAATTTCAAGTCTCAAAACGAGTGGAGTTTGACTATCAAAATTGGATTACTCCCAAACGGAATGAACTCTTTTACCGGATAGACACGTGCGAAATAGACTCAATTTAATTGAGACGCAACCCTTCGTGCAACGTAACTCTTTCTTCTATAAAACAAAAAATGTATTTGATCGAAGTAATCCCGTTCAAAAATTTATCACAATATTATATTTGTTCTCGATTAAAAGTTTGAATTTTATTCGATTGATTTTAGTTTTAACGCCGATATAAATAATTTGAAAATGTTATATGACAACTCTCAAACAAAATCTATGGGTTATCTAAATTTCCTAACACTATACCTCTTACTCGTTGGTCGATGGGCCTCACTTTTGGGGCGTTGCTGGATCATATCTCGCTTCTTTTAACACAGGCTTCTAACGATAGTTGGATCCATCTTATAACCTATACTTGGACTTAAAATTGAAAACACAACAATTTTAAATGATAAGAAAGCCCCCTACTTGAAATAAAACATAAATAAAATACTAAAATATTAATTCTATGTTTTAATTTCCTAAATAGGAGTTCGCACTGTGGTAATGTCGCACTTTACACGAACATTTTACTATACTTTTTGGTAATGTACATAGTCGTGATTGATAACGTAAATACATTCTAACTCCTAATTCGAAAATAAAAACATGGAACTCTTATTTTGGTATATTTTTAATATTTTACTTCTTTAATTTTTTTAAAGTTAATTATGGGTTTTCATTTAGAATCCGACCTTTCGACTTACCATTGATGCTTAATATAATGAGAAGTTCTTACGGGGTTAAGATAAATGGTAAACCTTCATCTTTTACTTTGTCAATTTTTAATACGACTAGAAGATGAATTTCTTGAACTTCTCCCCTGGCTTGAGTGGTAGCAAGCCCACTCCCCAGGATTCATGGAGAAGTTCACCCAGGTTCAAGCCCCAGCGAAGGCAGCAGCATTGGCTCTTTGTGCGTCATTAGTCATTAGCTTGAGAATAGTATGAACAGATACTACCTTGTAATAGAGTCAATAGCATTCAAAAAAAAAGATGATGAATTTCTTGACTATTTATTTTAAGGGAAATAAATTTTGTTGTACATGCTAAGTTATAAATAAATTTTGTTCGTGACTTTTT